GCTTGAATTTAAGCGTACTTCTAGATTGACAGCTTGGTTTTGATGTTTAACTAGCTAGATGCAACCGCGAGTTATACTCTATTAGTTTCTTTTCTCGAACTTCTCGCCTGTGGAATCTTTTTCCAATTTCTTGCTTCTCCATCAACCACGTTGTTCAAAAATTTAAATGCAACGCTAATTGCCATCTTCTCTCTTCCTGACTCCTGTCCTTTTATTGTTCATATGGTTGTTTCCCGATGTACATCATTGAGCATTTTATACAATATATAGTTTATATTTTTGTCTCCATCTTGTTGCTCTCTCGTTTGGTGATAACTATGTTTCTTATTGCTTTAGTTGTGGTGTTGATAATTTCTATGTCAAAGTTGGATAAGTTATTTTCGATGGTGGCTCTTATGGAATTGGTAGGTATGTGCCTACTTTTGTTATGGTCTTGTGATTTTTATTAGTGTTGAATTTTTTATTTTTCTTCTACGGATTTTGTGAAGGGAATAATTCGAGAATTTGAGGAGCTTCAAAACGTTTTAGATGTTCAGGTCTTCATCGTGCAGGAATTGCGGGCTACAAATTGTAATGACTTAAATAAACTCGTATAATTACTACGTATTTTATTGCAATGGGATCACAATAAAGATCTCATAAACTTTTAACTCATTACAGGAATAAAAGAGCCCTATATTTTTTGAAGTTTTAAATGGGAGGATTGTCATTTTTATGTTGGTGTAGGCGTAACGTTTAGCGACTGGGAAAAATAAATCAGCCAATCGAGTTCGAATTCTGGCCAGGTTCTTAACATTAACTCTCCCGCAAATAATCTTTTTGATCCAGCTATGGGTTAATCGAATTTTAAAGACACGCTAAAATTGTTTGGCAACCTATCAAGTGATGGCCACTCAGTATAAACACACATCCCTTGCAACCGGGGTCATTCATGTGAATGTGTCGGCCCGAAAAATCGCACCATTAAGGAAATTCTTAATCCATGTGAAATAATCATATATAAGCTCTTCTTTTTTGTCGGTTTTATTTACTTATTTGAAGAAGAATTATTTTCTTAGCCTTTTGAAGAAAAATTTCGATGACTATGTATCGTCAGATTTTTAAAGATATAAGTTGCATCAGTTTTATTCTAAGTAAGGGTTTAGCATGCACACATTAATTATAGGAAAAGTTGTCAATGTGTTAATATCAAGCAAGATATTCTATGTGACTTGCCCCTTCAGGTTTTGGAAGATAAGAGTTCGCTGCAATTTCCTGTCCTTTGTAGCTCTTAGTAAAATTTGTTTTTGCGATCTTACTTAATGACACTCTTGCCAATTATTTATACAAGCTTGTGAGGTACGTTGTTTTCCTTTGTCCGTCATTGCCTTGTGTGTGTCAAATTCTCCAAAACGTATTTCCTTATCATATGCCCTAGAAATTTCAAATGTTTATTTCTGGCGCAAAGTGTCTTTTTTGTTTGCATTTTCTCTAAAGCTTTGTCGTTACTCACATTTTCGGTCCATTGTATTCTAAGCATTTTTCTATAGAAGTATATTTCTGTTGCCTCAATCCTTTTGTAAATCTGTGAGGAGATTGTTCTCCATTTACGGCCATATATCAGTACCGATATTGCATGAGAATTCAGTACAGGCACGTGGCCGAGTGATTAGGACGTTCGATTTCTGACCATGAAACCCGGGTTAGAATCTCACCATGGTCGATTTGTCAGGAAATAGATTTCCTGATGTTATCGGACTGGAAAGTGTCCGAAAATCATAGCACGGGTTGAGTGAAAATAGGTAGATTGTACCAGAGAGGACCGTCGATAGCTTTGCTAGCACGAAGTCACAAGTCATCATGACCGAGTGTTTGAGTGCGCTGGCTTTGTTCATATTGTTGATCAAGCTAGATAACACGCTCTTTCCTAGAAAGTGTAACTAAGTTTGGAGTGTAAACCACAGGTAGGCTCTGTTGGTGTTGAAGAAAACACAAGGGTGCCTTAGCAAACGTCTGCAATAGGGATTGGCTAGCCGCCATAATAGACGGATATCATCGAATACGAGGGACCAGCTATACTATGTACTGTACATAAGAATCCAGGAATCATTTTCTTTTTTGCTAATGCAATCTTCCCATTTATTAAAGCTGCGCTTTTAGAAGGATTCATTCGCTATCCCGATGCGTCTTCGGCTATCCCTGTGCGTTTTTGGTTATCCCTTTGCGCCTTCAGCTCACTTTGTGCGTCTTTGGCTATCCCTGTGCGTCTTTGGCTATCCCTGTGCCTCTTTGGCTATCCCTGTGCGTCTTTGGCTAACCTTGTGCGTCTTTGGCTATCTCTGTGAGTCTTTGGCTATCCCTGTGCGTCTTTGGCTATCCCGATGCGTCTTTGGATATCCCTGTGCCTCTTTGGCTATCCCTGTGCGTCTTTGGATATCCCTGTGCCTCTTTGGCTATCCCTGTGCGTCTTTGGATATCCCTGTGCCTCTTTGGCTATCTCTGTGCGTCTTTGGCTATCACTGTGTGTCGTTGGCTATCTCTGTGAGTCTTTGGCTCTCCCGTCCTGTGTTAAAACACTTCCTAAATAATACAATTTTTATACTTGCTTGATTTTGGTGTCTACAACTAATAGCTGGCATCTTTTGCTGTTCCTTTTGATGATAAACATACATTTTGCCTTTTACATTTGATGTTTATTTCTTTCTTTTCTTCTGCAGCACTTTCTATATTTTCCTTTCTGTTTCTACTATCAACAATCCGCATATGTCATCCGCCTAACTTATATTAAGAATAATGAATCATGATATGACTTCTAATTTTCTCGCTATTGCTTCATTGTAAAATTTGAATAATTCTGTCGAGTCGGCAGATCCTGTTTTTTCTTATGCTAAGTATAAGTGTTCTTTTTCTTTCCATTTTCTTGAAGCGTTTTCATTGCTCACATATTCAGTCCATGTTATTATCAGCAACTGTTTTTAAAACCACATGTCCTATAACCTCTTCATTTGTGAGGAGATTGTCCAGCTTTCACAGGCATCTAGGAGGACCGATATTACAGATTGAAAAATATACACTTGGAGATTTCAGCATGAAGCCTACATTTTCTTATGTGTACCTATCTACGGAAAGCTTCTTTCATCTTGTATATATTTGTAATTCATTAGAAATGCAACGGTATTACACATAACCAGAGGAGAAAAGGATATAGTTTCTTTGTAACTCTCGACCTGTGTATTTTTTTAAACGAATTTCCTTCATTGAATTTACGTTTAGATCTTACTAAAATTTGTATTTAGTGTTGGACAACGTATGCACACAAACCTAAGGTCTTCATCAAATGTTCGCGCTGCTTCATTGATCTCTAAATACACTGGTAAGATTCCTCGTTTTTATACACACACACACACACACACTCAGACAAGTTTGTACACAGTGATATTCTTATTGATCTCAATCTTTCATGCGTAAGTAATATTTTCCACCATCAATACTTACCTTGGTAAAGCATAGTTGTATGTGAACACTCCATAAGAGGAATTAATTTTCAGTTATCAGGCGGACTCGAACAAAGAGAAACTAAGAAATCCAAAGAAATTATTGAGAGCTTTCCCCTTTATAAAAAGTGTTATGACTTTTGCTTTCCTCAGATTTTATCAGTACCCTACACCCAAGCCGCTACTCGCCCGCCGGTGGGCCACCGGTGGCATCACCAGCTGACTTCTAGTAGCAGCTACCGGTGGGTCCCTAGCGGTCCACCACTGGTAACATTGCCGACAGGAACACGCTGGTGGTCCGACAGCGGGTCACCAGCGGTAAATGCTAGTGGCACGCCACCCAGTGGCACGCCACCCAGTGGCACGCCACCCAGTGGCAGATTCGGGGCTTGCGTGTTGGGTATTTTATCGCGTATGCCGAGAGCTACTCTACCCTTACAGCATGAGTATTTATATAGTGTATGCTTTAGCTATGCTAATTAGCCGATCATTTACATATCGCTACATTTACCTAAAATGGAGAAGTCTTAAGCCCCGAGTACTTCCGTCACTTCTGATAATTCGTTTCTCGCTGTTAATTCTACATATCCATTTTTTTATATATAGCATCAGGTTTAGTAGATTCCCCTCGAATATGTGGTATTTTAGTAAATGCTCGGTTGGTTGAATTTAGATGAATTCTTTTGCTGATTGAGTGACTTGTAAGAATGTCTCCCTTCTCAATTGTTAATTTATGTCTTATTACTGACATGGAGCAATTACCCCATATGTTCCTTTTTTTATTTGTGACGTTATGCTTTTTAGTACTGTGTCCTGTATAATTTCGGAAGTCATTCTATCCAAACACCAATGTAAAAAAAAAGTTATCATCAATTGTGTCCTTCATATTTAGTTTTTGATCTTCGTAAAACCGCCACCTCGATAATTCATCCACGTGTGGAATTATATTTGTCATGACATATTCCATATCAAAAGTCAAGGACGATTAATCTTATCGCCCACCTCAATATTCACGATGTCGTGACTTTAGGCAATTCTCTTCTCGGATTAAATATAAATTCTAATTGTCTATGTTCCGACTTCTATATAAATGTTTCCAATCAAAAATTGCCGAGTTTTAGTTCTCCACGCGATGGCTAGAGTCGCCTTTTCAATGTTTGAATAATTAAATTCAGCATTTGTCATCCTGGATAAGAACATTAGTGAGTGTCCTCTTGTGATAATATTCCAGATACTGAATGTTTACTGGCATCTGCAGTCAAGGTTATTTCCTTTCTGGGGTTGAAATATTTCACCAATGGCTTCTTTGCATGAGGTAACTAACTTAATAAACGCTCTTTCTTATATCACGGTCGACATAAATTCAGCATTCTTCTTTCCCGGTTTGGTAAAAGGTTCCCTAAGAACTTATAGGAGATATTTACCGTACTATAGTATGGTAAAAACTGTCTATAAAACTTGACTAATCCTAAGAAGAGCACTGGTTCTTTTCTAGTTGCGTGTACAGATACAATTTGAGTATTTTGATCTATTATTGCTTGATCCGCCCTTTTTCATTTTTTTTATTCCTCTCTTAATCTACTCAAGACAATGCTAGTTTTTTCTTTTTAATTCCTTTTTATTAATGGCACCTAGGCATATGACAACTTCATAAAAATTGTTCATTGGCCATTTGAAATATGGCTCGTGCTGTCTTTGTTCCATAGGCTTACTTCATAATTGTTAAACATGCATGTTTCATTCGATTAAGTATATTTCCAACGGGTATGTTATTTTGATTTTCAAGCTCTACCAATAATGGGTATTGTCTAAAATTTGTTTTCCTTCCAAATATGCCAAGGTTTTAGGATTGCCCCATCAAACTAACGTAACTGTAAATGGTTATCACGTGGTTTTGGTTCGCCTTTATTCTCCCAAAGTTTCTTGGTATTAGTGTCACTTCGCTCTCTGTGTCTATTTGCATATCCAATTGTACGTTGTTTATTTAAACTTTTGCTAAAATATGTTTGTTTTTCAACGAGAAAATGCTATTATATGTTTCGTCTTGGTTTTCTTCAGTTCTTTCCACGTGTTTCTTTTTAACTAGTTAAAATGGTACCTTAGACAATTATTACATTTTTTTTTCCAAATGCTGGGCATTAATTTCTTTATTTCTTGTTTATAACCACAGAACCGACAGATTTCTTTTGTTTTTTTTTTACTGTTGTCTTCAGGGAGTAGGTGTCAGAGATTTCTAAATTAACTTGACGGTTTTGATATTTTTCTATTAATTGTCTTGAATAAAGTGAATGCAGTCGTTCACGGATATATTTCCTATTTGCAATTGTTACACAATTATGCAGTGGTGCGTTGCATTGTGCATTTCTTCAATGAGTCTCATTTGAATTAATTCATCAATTATTTGACGTACCCTTACTATTTTTTCAAACTCACAATATCGAGACGTATTTTTAAAACCTTTCAAAAACATTATAACAGACTCACCAGTTTCTTATCTGATAGCTACGAATTATGCTCTCTTTGAAATTACTGTTCTCTCTTTAGATCGCATATTTTTCTGCATTATCTAAATTATTTCGTCAAAAGTCAAATCTTCCAGTTTTAATGGATGAGACATTGTTGGAACTCTCAATATAGGTTCGCATCCAGTGGTTAACAAATGATCCGTAACTTCGTATTCTCTCCGTTTTTTTGTTAGTTTCTTTGTTCGAGGTCTTACTGTAAAATCTGTAAGCCAAGATTACATAAAGTCAGGGTCTTCTAGGTATAATGTATTTTCTATCGACGACGCCATTGTTTTGAAGTGTTATTCCTTTCGTATTTTATCAATCCAAGTGAAGTCATTTTTCTCGGATACCGAAAGTTGCTTCACCCTTACTGCTTGGGTATTTATGTAGTCACTGCTTAGCTATGCTAATTAGACAGTCATTTATATATAGATACGAAAATATTCTAAATAGTAATCTCGATCTGTGATTCTTTGTGATAAAATCTATGATTCAGCAAAATTTCTATCACCTGACATTTCATATACTTCGAATTCTGAGTGCATTGTTACCTCGACATTAAACTGTGTTCATGCCATTAGCGTAGATGATATTGGATATTTTATGGGCAAGCAAAAACAAAAATAACAAAAAAAACTATTTTATATTGAGCTGCAGTAGACGTACTTTATAAAAAAGTTGTTCATGTGACAACCAAATATGTGTGGCTATAAATAAAATTAACTTTGTCTTGATTCTTTTTATTCATTATTTTGAATCAAGGGCATCAATCAACCATAAGTATTAGTCACTCAGAGTAAAATGAAATTATTGTTAAATGAATATATTTGTTTCTTTTATTTTAATGTAAGAAGTCAGACATTTAGAATGTAAATTCTTTGCACTTATTTGTAAGAGAAATGTTGTAAAAATATATCAATGACACGTATAATATAAATCAAATAAAACGATATAGGCTGATGCTCATTAAAGGAAGTAGATGTATGACCCTCTAATTGGGCAAAATAGATCAAAGAACTCTTATCTCTCGTTTTTCAGTCTCACCCCAAATATTTTGATTCGCGACGTGTGTAGACTGGGAGTTGTGATTTATGTCTTTTCCTAATCAAGCTGGCAGGGGAAGGATGTTCAGTCTTCATAAAGCAGGAAACTTTTACAAGCTAGCCAATACATGCTGGCGTATGCTACAAGGAGGAACCATCTTTGACACTGTCTCCATAAGCGAAAACTCTTAGAAGAAATTAGCCGTTCTAACCAACTGTTGTAGTACATGAATTGACCAGAATTATTCCTTCAAATATTTTTTCTCGTTTGTGACTTTTTCGATATCAGTGAAACTTTTCGATCTCGCTTATTTTTCTGCATCAAACCACAGCGAACAGCCTAGAACCTGCATTTAAACTTGACTATATGCTAGTAAAAGTTACAACGCTCTAAAAAAGAATTAATGCAATCTTCAGTGTATAAGACGCATGTTTTTTTTTTCATTACGATTCGTGTCCAAAAGACTTTTGCGCAAT